GAGAGAAGCTAAAACTGGAGAAATATGATCTCTCCTTCCAACTCTCATTAAAACTCTAGCAGCAGCATTTTGGATTAACTGAAAATGAGTTTTTTGGAGCCCAGATAATAAAGAATTACAGTAATCCAGTCTAGACGTGATAAATGAATGAATCAGCTTTTCTGTATCATTTTTGGATAAAATATTTCTAATTTTAGTGAAATTTCGGGTTGGGCTATATTGGCAAAAAATTAATCACGATTAATTGTGGTATTTAGCTGATAACGATTAATTCGACAATTAATTCCCTGGAGTCACATGACCAATTTAGTGGGAAAATTTGCTCTTCGTAAAAATCTTTTCCAAATTGTGTCAAAATCACAGACTTCAGGCTAAATACATCAAATTTTAATTGTGTTGATGGATAAATAAATTACAGAACTTTTGCTTAAATGTTCATCATATTTGAAGAGGAGAGGAGCACAGAGCACTCTGCCTGGTGGCATTAATCGTATTAATCGTCAAGTGCCAAAAAATAATCGATTAATGTTTTTCTGACGATTAATTGCACACGATATGATTATGCCCAACCCTAGTGATATTACACAGGTGGAAGATGGCGGTCCTGGTAACATTTTTAATGTGGGGGTTAAAAGACATGTCCTGATCAAAAATAACACCAAGGTTGTTTACATTAGAACTGGAGGCCAGATTGATGCCATACAGAGGAGGTGAAAGACTACAAAGTTGACCCTAAGATGTTCAGATCCAAGAACCATAACCTCTGTCTTATCTGAGTTTAGCAGAAAGTTAAGAGTCATCCATGTTTTTATGTCTGTAAGACATGCTTGTAGTTTAAGTAACTGGTTGGATTCATCAGGTTTCATGGATAAATATAACTGAGTATCATCAGCATAACAATGGAAATTTATCCCATGCTGATTAATAACTTTAACTAAAGGAAGCATATACAAAGTAAAGAGGATTGGTCCAAGCACTGAACCCTGAGGAACTCCATGACTAACTCTGGTGTAAGCAGAAGATTCATTATWAMCATTAACAAACTGAAATCTATCAGTTAAATAAGACTCAAACMCTTTTAGAGCTGTTCCTGTAATCCCAAYATCAAGTTCAAGTTAAAATATTGTGATCARTTGTATCAAATGCAGCACTGAGATCTAACAGGACAAGAATGGACACAAGTCTACTGTCTGAGGCCATGAGAATATCGTTAGTAACTTTAACCAGTGCTGTTTCTGTGCTATGATGARCT